TCTCTAATCTAGATCTATTGCCTTCATTCATCCAAGGGCCAATCTCGTTACCAAGGCTGATGGCTCTTGTAAGTGGTCAAGAAAGCATTTTTTGGTAAATCTAACTTCACCATTGTGTTCAAAACACTTTTAAAAGCTGAGATCGACTATTCATATGCCTCAATCCATGCTCAACTATAATTTTCATGGAAGTTTTTACTTACGAGGATCTTGGCAATTTTTTTGTAAAATTCTTCAAAATGAGAATTTCATTGCTTCACTTGTATTTTAAAGGAGACGGTGCTGATCTTGTTTTCTTCACTCCACGGGATAAATCTGGTGCCACCATTGCATTAAAAAGACCCTTATTAATAAGAAGAACCACCATGTTGCTTGAATTTGTCGAAATTGGAGGAAAACTCAAAATCATCATAGCTAACTTTCTTGAATCTTTTAGAGAATTATAATTCCAACTCCTAAATCATGTGAATGATTATAGGTGCACTCATAGGCTTTTAATCAACCCTCATGGTAATGACTAACAAACTCTAAATTATTGAACTAACTGAGTTGTTATTCTAATTTTCTAACTCTTATCACTTTAGTCCTAACTAACCTAATTCAAGGAATTAGGCTATAATTTATACGATCAAGGGTTGTAATCCTAAAAATTCTATAAAACTAAATTCCACTTATATAAATTCTAATCTAACATGCCCAATTATCATAACATAAGAAAATAACAAAAATTTAGATTATAGAGTACAATTGAGAGCTCACAATGTGTAACCTTGTCTCAATTCAATGGATAATGATCTTAGCTTTATTAGTATTGCCTTCCCACTCTTTGGACCCAAACTAATTGGTATCTTATTTTTTTATTAATATAACTATTATTCATTCAAAAATAAATGAATAAAAAAAATAAAACAAAACAAACAAACAAACAAACAAACATGTCTATCCTATCATACATCCAAATTCTTGTATAATCTCTTTTCAAATTTATGCTACATATTTCTATCATATACAATTCCAAGAATAGCTTGCTTGTTATTTTTCATATAACTTTTTACCACTCATATATGTGTCCATTGATCCATTTTGTGAGAAAAAACTTAACAAAATTTGTGGCATTAAAATTTGTAGGATAGAGCAACTGAAGGTTGTATTTGGTTAAGGGATTCCAAAAATGTTAATGGTTGTATTAATGTTATTTGTTAAATTCTGCAATTAATCCACCTGCTACAATTTAGATTTCATCAAAGTAATGAGAATTTTTATATGGTGACATTAATATATATATATATATATGTATATATATATATATTTTATATGGTTACATTTGTCACATGATTTACCAAATGGTCCAATTGTGATTTGGCAAATAATTTCTTGAGTGTGAAAAATTCAAATTTGATTATATTTAGAGTAGAAGAATTAAAAAAGTTGGATCTGGATTATTGTTTGAGTTTTAAATAGCCACAACTATAGAAATATGTATTTGACATGTTTCTTGGTTTTTTTGCCAATAATTGATGGAGGGATTTGTAAATATGCAAACAATTAATTTTGGATTTCAATATAACTTAAAAACATAATTTCCAATTCAAAATTTTTAATGAATTTATAATATATTCTTTAAAAAAAATAGTAATATAATATAAAGATATCTAAAATCACAATACAATAACCACCTTTGATATATTGTAGCATAAGTTTGAATCTTTCTCAAAACTTATATATTTGCTGTATTATAAAATATATCTAAGCTTATTTATCTATAAATAATTATTAATTTTAAAATATATAAGTTAATAATAATAAAGTTATTGTAATATACTTTTTAGAATCCAAAATTATTTAGTTGTACATTATAAATTTAGCAACAATAAAAGTCTTTAAATTAGCATTTTTAACTAACATACAAAGTTATTATTATTTTTTGTTTTTTTATATATACTATTGTTAAAATAGCCTGTACTATCTTTTTTTTTTCTTTTTATTATTTTTTTATTATTTTATTTTATTATTTTATTTATTTACAAGCAAAATAATGAGAGTTAAAAATTTTAAAATATTTTTAATTTTTGATAATTTTAAATATATTTTTATTATAATATATATATATATATATATATATATATATATATATATATAAATTTTTTTTTGGATAAGCTACAAAATTAATACCATAATATACAGTGATTTAAAAAAATATTTCAATGTTGACATATTTTGGAAAGAATGGTGTATTACAAATAAATTATAATGAATAATGACACGTGGTTTGTATAGCAAATAAAGTATTCTTTTATAGCTATCAAATGAGCTTAGATTGAAAGGAATCCATTAAATAATTGTGGAGCTATGATCAATCCAATTTGGAATATTATTATAACATTTTTTTGGATGTGGTATCCAATTACATATCAATACTTTATAGGACATCCTTTGGCCTTGGTAGCCTTGAAGAATTTCTATAAATTGCTTGGTATCCATCTTCCCTTCAACTTATGCCACCCTCTCAAATCCATTCTATCCCATACAACTCCATATCATTATATTTCTACTCCCATGCTTAACTACTTCTTAGATCTTTTCGTTAAGCCAAAACTAACCTTTTTGTTTCTACATCTACTTTGTACCATCTGACCCAAATTTGTTGATTTTTATCTCATCTAACCAAATTACCCTCTTCCAATTCTATGTAGTCCTTTCTTTGTACTTCATAGCAAAATCCAAGCATTGTTTTTGATGGCAAGTAAATAATATATATATATATATATAGATAGATTTTTTTTTTTTACCACGGCTTTCATATTCCATTTCTTGAAAACATTTCAAATGGTTTGAATTGACACATGATTACAAATAATATTGTAAAGTTTTTTAGCAATTTCAACAACATTTTTAGCCTTCTTAATGTTGATTTCGTAAATGATTGCTCTTTCATCTATTATAGTGAGCTTCTTTAGTCTGCTTAATTTAAGGTTCTCCTTATTAAAAGTGATATTTTTTGTAAGCCTAAAGATAGTAGCTTAGTTGTAGCGAAGTTCAGAAGCAATTTGACTATAAGATTTTTGAAAATAAAGAAGAGCAAAGTTATTGTTGTCTTGAAGAGAGCGGGAAATGGATCTTGTGGTTGTTCAAGAAATTGTCAAAGACACAAAAATTTGAAAAAGAAATATGTCAAAATTAAAGACAGAATGAAATTGATAGTACAAGTGGTTCCAAAGACTCCTATTTATACTATAATGAAGTTTACAGAAGTCTATGGTACTTTCTATGGAAGTTTTTAGAAGTCTAAAGAAGCTTCTAGAAATTCAAAGAGGCTTCTAGAAGCGTATGAAACTTTCTAAAAGTTTATGGAAGATTCTATAAATATCTAAAAGGTTCTAGAAATTTGTAGAAGATTCTAGAAGGTCATAGAATGTGGTAATTTGGAATATATCTGTGCCAAGAATTGTGATTAAGAATGGTGCTTTTATAGCTGCTAGTAAGCCTTAATGATGTCATTAGATTAGTAATAATATTATCATAGTAAATCTAATGATGATAGAATGCTGTAATGTTAAATAATTGATAGAATCCAAAAATTAGACACGACACTCAAAATATCATTTGTAATTTTTAAATGGATTCTTTTCAACTTGAGCTGATTTGGTAGCTGTAAAGTAGTATTTTATTTGCTATACAAACCACATATCATTATTTACTACAATTTATTTGTAATACACCATTCTTTCTAAAATATGTCAACATTGAAACAATTTTTTGAATCATTATACTTTGATATTATTTTTTAAATTTATATTTATTTTCTATATTTCTAAATAATTCATATAAAAAACAATTATACAATCCAATATCTCTTATTATAACACAAAAGACTATAAATATGCATATTCAAGATGTGCCTCTGGTTTTAGTGGCAGACTTGTGAATGTCTCTCTTATCTACTCCCAATTGTTGCTCTTGAACCTTCAACTTACCTAGTGCTATTGGACTTGTTTGTTCTAGCAAATAACAAATTTTAATTAAGATATCATAGTACTAGCCTATATAATCAATAGCCATGTTTATTTGTATAATTAATTTAATGTGATGATAGAAGCTTATAGCTTTCTCAATACATTTATTATTTTAAAGTATGTTTGTAAAATCTGTCCATTTGGTGTACCTGGTGCCATTGTTCAAACCCTGGGATCATTTAATGATTCTTGTACCACAAAATAGAATGAGCAATTTATACTTCCTATCCAATATGCATTCCTTCAGATTATTATTATTAGATAACTCCTTTGAGTGTCTGAAAGATTTTAGAGATTTTGATGATTCGTGATAGTTGTGCTGAAATTGTTGATGTTTTTAGGTTAAATATTTTTGAATACTTGAATAATTACAGTCATATTCTAGTCTTGCTAAAATTGTTTGTTAAATCTGCTACTTTGTGCACATACGTTTTTCCAATTCAGTATGTTATATGACCTATCTGAAAAGAAAAGAACCTATATATCTTAGGTCGAAAACATTTTCTTCTGAAATGCATAAGAGGAAATTTCAACATATATGTTTTATGTTTTTATAAGATTGCAAGAATGTAATTATCCAAAAGTCAAGCATCATCTAGTGGTGCTTCTCAACACGTTCGATTTGCCAAGGAAACAAATAAAAAAGCATTTGAAAAAACATTACAAAAGCCCAAGCGTGAATTCAACACTGAAAGTAGTTTTGTTTTGTTGACCGTTTTAAAAGTACTACAGCCAACAAAAAAACTCCCCTCAAAACACTGTTCAACAAGATACACCTTTAGGTTTTACTTTTTTAATTATTTTAGCGGCATAGGTGGTGGTGGTGCACAAAGATGATAATGCAGAGACTCATTACTCTTGGCTGTGGTGGAGAGTTCGGATGCTGAGAACAGAAAGAAAAAAGCAAGGTTTGGTGTGCCAACTGCATACTCAAGCTGACTGATTGAGCCATTGAGTGAGTAGCAGTGTTTGACGAAGTGAAGCTGCGAGGTAGAATAATTCAGTTCAGATCTGTAAATATAGATGCCACGTATTTTTATTTGATTTTTCCTTCTCACTTCACTTCCTCTTCCTCTTCTTCTTCTTCATTTCTTTTTCGTCTTTGCTTAGCCTTTCATTCGCGTGTGTGGGACCGGTTCAGCTAAGGGAGGTATGATCAGGGCCGAAAGTTTGTTGCATTAGCAGGCTGTTGACCGGTGAGGGTGTTGAGAGATGGCATGGATCGTGGGTATTGCTGTGAGCGAAACAGCCTAGAATTGGCAATCGAGGTGAGGAATCATTCCATTGGTTCTCGTTGTTCATAACAGGTTAGGAAGGAGCGACGAGATCGATTTTTTTATAAACTTGCAGACCAAGAATGAGGGAGACGCAGGTTGTATCCACGATTTGGGTGGTAGCTCTATCACAGAGAGGATATGTGATAGCTGAGTGAGAATCTTATTCTTTTGCCTTGTGACTGAAGATCGAGAGGCCGGACTGAGTAGTTGTTTATTTAGCACCTGTGCGAAATCACATAGAGATAGAGCATCGCGAGGATTGTTTGGCTTGGAACCGGCTTTATTTTTCATTCTCGAAGGTCTTTTCTACTTTTTTTTTTCACGAATTGTTGGAAACGGCAGAGAGAAAATGCAGACTAGAGCGTCTACAACTTCTCTGGCTGTTGAGTCTGTTGTAGGAAACGGCCCAATTTTGAGAAATGCAGCAGGGGGAAAGGCGTTGAAGGAGTGGCCTTCAAAGCTCTCCAGGATATTCTGTTTGTTCATCGCACTAGGCGCTAGTTTAGTGGTAGGGGTGATATGCAGCCTTCACGTAACGGGAGTCTTAAGCACAGGATCCATGCTTTCATCGTATGTTTCTGGAGCTCAACAACGCGTTCACCGGCACATAATGGCCCCTGACGATTCGCAGGCTTTGTGTCACGGCATGGAAGACAAGGAGCTTCTCTGGAGAGCGTCTATGGTGCCGACGCGGCCAGGGATGCCCCTCAAACGCATCCGGAAAGTCGCTTTCATGTTTTTGACTGTCGGGCCTTTGCCTCTAGCTCCGCTGTGGGAGAAATTCTTCAAAGGTCACCAAGATCTTTACAACATATACATCCACTCTCTTCCTGAATACGAACCCAACGAGCGGCCGTCTTCTGTATTCTATGGTCGTCGCGTCTTAAGCCAGGTTGGTGACTCCCTCCCTTCCCTCTCTTGATCCTTGGCCGGTGAATTAAATCGTTCTGCAGGGTTGTAGTTGGCACCAGCTTTTGGTGCATCCGACGACCTGGTCCCACCCATAGCTGAGATGGGTTGTTGCAGCAACACCTCCTCACAGTGCTAAAACACGCACATCTGTTTCTGGAAACCAGAATCGCTCTGCAGATGGGTGTTGGAAGAAAAGTTCTCCGTGGTAACAATCTGTGCATGATAGGTTTTTCTGGAGCGTTGCCGTTCGCGGTTCGTCTGTCCTAGCTTCAGGGAAGAGACACTGTCTAACTTGGCTCTACTTTCATCTACCCAGGAGGTGAAATGGGGTGATATTTCAATGAACGATGCTGAGAGGCGGTTGTTAGCGAACGCACTACTCGATTTGGACAACGAGCGGTTTGTCCTTCTCTCTGAGAGTTGCGCACCAATCTGGAACTTTACATTTACCTATCAGTATCTGATGAACTCCAACCAAAGTTTTGTAGGTGTTTTTGACGACCCGGGACCCGTGGGCAGAGGAAGATACGACCCACGTATGGAACCAGAGGTCACCATTGACCAATGGAGGAAAGGGGCTCAGTGGTTCGAGGTGAACCGGGAGTTGGCCGTCTACATCATCGCCGACGTGAAGTACTACGAAAAATTTCGCCAGTTTTGTCTGGGAGTATGCTACGCAGACGAGCATTATATTCCAACAATGATGTTCATAGAATTCAAGGACAAGATAGCGCAGAGAAGTGTCACAGCGATGAATTGGTCAAGAGGAGGTTCCCATCCGGGCATCTTTGGGAGACACAACGCGGCAAGCTTCTACAAAACTATCCGCAGTGACCAGTCATGCACATATAACGGAGCTCCTGGCCATGCGTGCTACTTGTTTGCTAGAAAATTCAGCCCCGACAGCTTGCAGGCCTTACTACACTCTGCCACATTGCGCAAGTTATAGCCTGTTTGTCCAAAACAACACGTAGACGTCGAGCTTAGGGTTGTACCTCCCGTCCCGCCTTCGCTTTCTCCAACCTCCACTAAATCCCGAATGAGAAATGGCACGCGCTAGATCCGAACGGCTACTAAGTGATCATAGACCTCTTTAGCAATGGCCAGCTTAGACTCAAGCTACCAGAGACATGAGCATCAAATCTTTCGAGGGATGTACGTGATGCTTGTGAAGAGTGGGCGGGATTGTCGACCCAGCAAGATGTGATTCTCCAGGAGAACAGTTCACGGCGCTCCCTGGATTCACATCCAAATGCAGATAAACAGCTATTACTTATTTTAAGTGCAACCGATGAAACTCAGCATCGAAGAATCACGCAGTGCTAGTCACGCGGTGCGATCAGGTTCTCCAAGAGTGTACAGAGGTCCAAACAACGCACAGACATGCAAGAATAATGCACCCCCATGAAGTAGCTCAGCTCTTCCTTCCTTGCTTGCTGTCAATAGCTATGCCCCCACCCAGCTCTTCAAAATGGGTAATCCTTGCACTTCTCTCGGCACTTTTGATTGTCGGTGAGAAGTCTTATTGCTTGACCTTTCTACGAATGGAACTTGAAGCGACTGCAGATGAAGCTCTGAACAGGTCTCGCTAATAATCTATCTGATTGTTGCTGCAGGATTCCAGTACTGTTGCTGTTCACATCATGTATCCTGGCGTGTATTCCTAGATTGCAATTATTTGAATAAGACGTGCCTCGGATTCATATTCCTTTATGTGTGTTGCAAGTAGAAAGTGAGGGAGGTTTTCATTCCACACTGTACTCAGCTTTGCCTTTTTTTTTCTTTTTTTTTTCTTTCTTTCTATCTCTCTTTCTCGTGCCAGGATATTCGCTCAGATTTCTTCACACTCTTGTTCGTGTGATTTTTTAAACTGTCCATCACTTGTTGCATACTTCTTTCATGTCGCTTAATTCTGCACCAAAGTTTTTTACAAATGAAAAAAATAATAATCATAATTATCTAAAGATTTGTTGTGGTTGTTATTGTTGTCACTATATAATACATTTATAAAAACAAAAAATTAAGAAAATAAAAGTTGCACAGTATGATTTATAGAATGTTTCAAAACTCTACATATTTCTGAAATTATTAAATTCTTAAGATTGCAATTAGTTGTACTGCTTAAATTGTATTCAAGATTTCTTTTTATTTTGTATTCCTAAAATTTTAATTCACATCAAAACTAACAAAGACATATTATATCTTAAATATTATATATGATTTATATTTTTCAATAATTTATCTTATTTTATTTTATTTTATTTTGCTCATTAATTTATTGTTAATTCAAAACATTGGTTTTTAAAATCACACCAAAAGTTTATAATCTATGAAATACAATTTGTCTGTGAATTTAAAATATTTATTGGGGTAGGAATGTTTTTTTTGTTTAGATTTAATAAAACAATAATCATATGATGTGATACTATGTAATAAATGTGTTGGAAATATGATACTTTAAATTATTACATAAAAAATATATAATATACATTAATATATAGTGATACAATTTGCATCACATGTCATAAATAATACTTGAATAATTTAAAAGATTTTTTTTTTAAATAGTGCATAATTAATTGTAAAGCTTTGACATAATAAAAAATGATATAGATTTTGTAAGGTATTATCTTAAGCATAGTTATATAATAATATATAATAAAAAAATAATCATAGTTATACATTCCAACTTATGTTGTTATTGATGCCATTGTTGGAGTTTTGTATTTTTAATTAAAATTATAAGATAAAAAATACAAATAATTTAGCTATTCTAAAAACATTCTAATTTCTATAAGAAGAAATAATGGATGTCAAAGAAATTGGTCTATCTATAAGATAAGATAAATTATTGTAATGTATAATTACTTTGAAAGTAAAATAAAATCTATCAAATAATAATGTGTATTTGTATGTTTATTAACTTATTAGAATAAAAAGGTGATATAATTGATGTCATACAATATACAATACTAACAATTCTAATTCTCATATTTGAATAAAAATAAGACAAAATAATCCTAACATGTTTTGAATTAGTAAGAAGAAGAAGAAGCAGAAAAATATATATATAAATATATAAAAAATATGTATTAAAGACCATCTATCTCTTATGTTTAACTTATAAAAGATTTACTATATATAAAGATGAAAAAATAAATAAAATATATTTTTCAAAAAAATAGTATTAATAAAAATAATAAAAGATCTAGTAAAAAAAACTATTTACTTTCAAAAGACATAAGATAGAATAATAATTAGAGTTAAATGTTATTAATCATAAGTAACAACATAACATCAAAATCATTTATAGTATGACAAATATATATATATATATATATATATATAAATTTTTTTATGATAATATAAAGTGTGCCAAATATTATATTTATGTTGCTGAAACTAATAATAAGATATCTAATCAAAGTATAAATTAATTTATACATTCATAATTATAATCAATTTTAAAAATTCTAAATTATAGTATATATATGTATATATATATATATATATATAGATATAAATTTATGCATATAATATTTTATAAGTCAAACTACAAGCAAATTTTTTAAGTTGGTTCACAAATTTAACATTGGCCAAATGGTGTTTGTTACAAAGAATGATCTATGCTTTATATGAGGTGGTTGATAGATCTTTAAGAAATTAATGATGATTCATATTTAAATAGAAAAAATACTCAAATATTCAACTATTATTGAAGATTTGATAAATATTTTCAAATAACAAAGTTTAAGTGCTATCTAGTTTAGTATCTAACTTTGAACAAATTTTACAAATAAATTCTAAGTGTAAAAATATAAGAATTAGTTTTGTTTCTATTTTATAATTTTATATGCCTATTATATTCTTTTTTATATCTCTTTAAATTGTCAATTATCAGTTTTAATATCAATTGTTGATCAATAAAATCTATTTATACTACATTTATAAAACTTCAAGATGGTTTTAATGTGATTTTGTAAATACTATAATTAAATAAATTTATAAGATATTTTTCTTTATTTAAAAATTACATCACATTCAAGACTTAAAATATTAATATTAGAAAGTCTTTTTGATTATATAAATATTTATAAGAATTTGGAGTTGTTTATAAGTTACAAGAGTCTTATTAGAAAATAAATATATAAATAGAATCTTAGTAAGTTTTTGAAGCAATTATTTTAGTTGGTTTAATAATTTTGCTTAGTATTGAATATTAACGATAAGTTATTGAGCATAATAAGTGCATTGGCCTTCTATTTATATATATTGTTTATAAAAATCCTAGATATTTTAGTTTATAGTTAAAAGAAGTATGAAAAAGAATCTTATACCTTTTTAATTATTTATATAAAAAATATAGTTTATAATTAATTTTAATTTATTTTATTATTAAAAAAATTCTGAGTTAGGAAAATATAGTCTCAAATTGATATTAGTATTATAGAAAAATTATAAAAAATCTAAAATTTATTTAGAATATTTTAAAAAAATTAAAGTAATTTTCAAGACTTGTATAAAAGTAAGTTTTACCACCTTGATAGCCATTATGAATAAAGGAAGCAAGATTTGAAGGTCATAGTAGATTTCTAGTCTAATTGGATGTTTTTAAAACACTATGGTGAAGTCAAAGATACGAAATATGTTAGTTTTACTAATAAAAAATAGAAAAGACCAACAATTAGTTTAATCCTTGTAGGATGAGATGTATATAAGTTTCATATGAGTTGAAGCACCTTGGATGTAGGTAAGATGATAAGACTAAGGTCTTGTGGCTACTCTAAAACACCCATATATACTACTTGTGAGCCTTAGTAAGCCTCAAACTCTTGATTTTTTAAACAAGTTATTTTTGAGGTAAAACTTATTTACTTAATTTTATTATTATTATTATTATTATTTTATTTTAAAATTATCATAAATTATTTATATTAACTTAGATTCATATGTTTTTACGTCATTAGAAAGATTTTAAAAAATTATCTACATAAAATTTTTATTTTTTTAAATTTTTTATTGAGTGAAAATCCAGTGAATAAACTATGACTCATTTTGTAGAGTGCATTTGCTTGATTTCACTTATTTCACTTGTTTTGTGTTGTTATTTATTATTTTTTTTGTTCTTATTCTTTGCTTCTTTCTCTTTACACCACTAATTACAAGCAACTTTTAATTGATGCTATCATACATTTGGATTGAGGGATGAATATTACCCTCACAATCTACCAAATAATAGAAAAATCACATCCAAAATACACTATATACTATAAAAAACTTAAATCCCAATTACAAAACCCCAATTCGGCTTGATGGAATCAAGCACAAAATTGCATCAAATGCAAAAGAAAAAAAACACAGTGGAGCCAGTTATACATGGAATCACTTTGGCTGGGATCGGAGAGACCACGGTGATGGCAGCAGGGGTGGGGGCATTCACGGGTATAGGATCCGACCACTCTCTGTGAGGTGGTAGGCTCCAGTTCGTGATGCATGCAGCAATATTAATAATAAAGAGAGCTTGCAATGAGAGGAGAGGCGGCTGACGAAGGAAGGAAGGGGGTGAGGTTGTGTGAGCAGTAGAAGGTCGCCTCCTCGCTCAACCCTCTTCCTCCTCCGTTGCTGGCTGGGATCGTTGCTGCGACGTCAGATCTGCCATTGGCTTCTGTTACTCGTGTCTTTCCACCTGTTTGCTGCTCCAGCTGCGCGCGATCTACCCACATGTCTACTAGGAGTTGGCTTAGTTGCGGATAAAAGCGTCGTCTAGTGGTTCAGCTCACCAACAAACCCTTCAGTTCCCAACTGCATCGCGTGCGATTCCCACTTGCATGCCATTCGATTTCGACTATGGTGTGGGGTTCGAATTTGGGATGTTTTGCACCGGGTTTCTCTTTCTCAGCTGATTCGTGGAGGGGGCTTAGAGATTGGGGTGGGCAACCCTAAGTGGGAATTCAGAAGAGGGTCTGGAGTAATGAGGATTCGAAGAATGGGCAGATAGCACGGGTGTTTTTTCTTTGTTGAAGTGGTGGATGAATCGATGTAGCAAGCGTGAGTAGTGTTTGAAAGGAATTTAGCATGGGGCCAAACGCGTGGCATACAGGATGGGGGGTGAGGGTGATGTGGGTTTTGGTGCACGCAGTGGGGGTTGGAGGACTGTTATTCCTAGATTCCGACCTGCGCACACTCAGTTTGGCTTTCTCGTGGTGGGCAGGGAGCTACTACTTGCTGTTCTTGGCAGTTGTGATTCAGTACTGCCGCACTGCAGGATCTACACCCGGGTATCTAGTGGATGCGTTGAGTGAAGACGCCAATTGTGAATCTTTTGCGAAATCAGCTGCAGCTGGAAGTTGTAGGAGCTCCCAATCGGCAGCTGAAAGCGGCCGTAGTTCATACGGATCCTTTCAAAATTCTGAGAGCTGTCGAGCTCCTCCACGGGTCTTAAGAGAGAATGTGAAAGGTGGGTATGCCCCTGTTTCGGAGGCGAGTCCATTGCTGATGAACTCGATAAATGTAAAGCGGGAATCTGATGGCTGTCATTCAACCAGAGGTTCCGCCCACTCGTTGCTGTCAATTAGTACTGGGTTCTGCGCTTACTGCGGGTATTTGCAACCATTACGGACCAAGCACTGTCACGATTGCGACAAGTGCGTTCTACGATTTGATCACCACTGTGTTTGGCTGGGGACATGCGTTGGGCAACGCAATCATAGGAAGTTTTGGTGGTATATCTTCTGTGAAACAGCGCTTGTAATGTGGACTTTAGTTTCGTATATCCGAGCCTTTGGCAGCAGTATTGGGAGCACAACGTTGCTGGAGGGATTGGCAGTTTTGCTTCTGATTCTTGGACTCATCACCGCAGAGTGCTTTCTGATGTCTCTATTAGTGTTCCATTCCTTCCTGGTACTAACTAACCAAACTACCTATGAATTGACAAGAAGACGCCGCATTCCTTATCTTAGGACTCTGCCTGAAAAGGTGCATCCTTTCAGCAAAGGCATGGATGCCAATTTGTACTCTTTCTGCTGCTCATCGAGCTCCGAGCACCCAATTTACGTACTTCCCAGCCCAGAGGAGTTGGAGAATATGGCACGTCCTACGTCTTGTTTTAGCTGTAAGTACTTTTGTTATTGTGGCTTCTGCTATCATTGCTAACTTCGTGTGCTAAGAGGTGGATTTAGAGTATTTTTAAGCAGGTATGTAATAGAGAAATGCAAGGTATTCGACGCTTCTGTAGGTTTCGATAGAATCACTGGTCAGCTTCGCATGCAAAGCTCAGTGTCAGGTTGATAGGAAATTATTTCTAAAGGATATCGTATACTACAAATGATTATGACCAACGACCTATGCATCTATGCACTTCTAGGTCAGGTAAATGCATTAGTCCGATGGAACACCATACCAGTAACTTAAGTGACAGCATTCTACGTCTGCATCATCTTGAAATAGGGAGTGTTCGTCCGATTCAAATGGCACGAAGTTGTAATTTTGCAGATCATGTATTGTGGATTGGATGTGATGTTGCCTTCTTGTTTTAGACTTTCCTGGATCGAACAAGGTCACCTCCTGCTTCCTTAACTAGAATATGAGAAAGGAATTTGTTCCCTCTGGATGTATGGGCTCCGCGTTGCTGGAGAGGATGAAGTCATGTAATGGCGTTCTATACATAGGATGTTATCTTATGTACTTGGATACTATCAAGGTGAAGGTATGGTTTTGTTTTTCATTTTGAAGTTGGTACCGTGCTGCTCTGTCTCTTGCTTCCTTACTAGTTGTTTATTTTAACTTTGAGTCAATTTTTAACTTCTTGGTGAAGACAGTCTTTTCGGCGCTGCACTATGGGTGGTCAATTATTCATGTCAATCTGTATACTGTCAAGGTTTCCGTTGCTCTCCACGCGGCAGGAGACTGAAGAACAATACCGGGTCCCCAAACTCTTGATGGTGTCATTCTACACCTTCAATGAGGAAGCACCATCTCATCTTTCTCCATAGGCTGCCACGCATTTGAAAGCGCCAGGCACAACTTCTAACGTTACTCTTCTGGAACAAAAGCTCCATGAATTCATATTCTACTGTCAGCCGTATCATCCGTGAGAGCTTATGGACCCACAACAAAACCCATTGAAAGTCCATAGTTTCAAGGCTCGAGGCTTCGTTATCAGTTAGTGAGCTGCAAATCTGGTACAATGCTGTCCCTTCAGCGGGTTGAATTAGTGCCTTGCTCGAAAGGACCGTGTTCGATACGCATCTATCAATGCGAGGGCGATACATATTCGCAGAATTACATTCTTTAACAAACGCCCTGCACCCATCAAGGAGGGCATCTTTATGCTTCCTTGATGGATGTGTAGCTGAGCTCATTAGACACTAAGTGGCTCAGGAAAGTGTTTAATGAACGCAAATCTGGATTAACACCTTAAGAAAGTGAAGGTGGAGCAGAGAATGATCGAGTGATTCGGACGACAGCGGTTCTTCTACTTCATCGTTAATGGAGATCCCGGGCTGCTAGCCAGGGGCAAGCCATAGGGTTGTCTTCCATTCTAATAATGAGTGGGCAATGTTATTCTTGGATTTTGCCTCCATAAGGAGTTCCCAGCAAAGCAAAGTCCACCCAATTTCAAAATTTGCACTTCTATGTTTAAGGGAGTGTATATATTAGGTATAATTTTATTTTTATTTTTATTGTTTTTTTCAAAAGCAAAAATTAATTACATTGAAGCTAAGTCATGGTAGAAGTACTGATTCTTGTTGCAAAGGGTTTGTTGCCTCCACATTTAAGTGGCTGAAGGAAGGCATAACTTTGCAAGACAAGATCTCAAGGATTAAGGCAATCAAAGAGCTAATTTTTTGGAAGAAAGTGCCATTTAAAGTAAAGATTCAATAAACTTGTATTTACTTAAAGGTGACCAAAACCAAGATGTGGTGCTTAATATTATAGGAATTTTTTTTTACCTTATTAAGTTATAGGATTAACTTCAAGGGGCAATATTAAACCTGTAGAAACAAAATCAGAAAGTAATTTTTTTAGAATAGATGCATCTTTAATTCTTCTTATGAAAAAACTAGTTGAATTTAATTTGGATCTTAAAATCAATTATGGTATGTCAATTCATAAATTCATGAAGGTGGATGCATCAACACATTTAGAAGTGCCAAACTCTTTTGGTTCTTATTTGGATGATGTTGTTGGTTTCATTGTAACAAAAGTTTTTACATTATTTCATTGTAACAAAAGTTTTTATATTATTTCATTGTAACAAAAGTTTTTAAATTAACGACTTACTTTATTATTATATTTTTGATTAATATATATAGTTTAAATAACATATATTATTGCTCTTATAAATTTAGATAAAGAATTTATGTAATAAGTTATATAAATTGATGTTATATCTTAACCTTAGAAATTCTATTCTTTTTTTAAATGATTATTGCCAATTTCTTATATAAAAATTAGTTAAATAATGCCATAAATTATATTTATTAATTATAATAGAGAATTTTTATATATCTTCATTTTGTAAAATATAATATAATATTTATATACTATAAGTATCTTTGATATTGTATATATATAAACTTAAAATTTTGTTGTTGTTTATTCCTTGAAAGAATTATGCCAACTAATCTTACTTTAAATTGTATTTTAAATTGTCATATTTGGAATTTTTCTTATAATAAAAATAAATAATGAACCAAAAGATACTTTTAATATATTCTTATTTTAAATAAAATAACCTATAGGTTTTATTGACCTTTATACTTATAAATATCTTTTTTCTTTTAAATACTATTTATAATTCATTAACTAATCAAAATAAAAATCTAAGTTTTTTAATAGCATTATTTTTTTGTAAAACTTTATTATAAGCTTTTGAAATATTAAATTATAAAAGAAACTATAGCTAATTGTATATTTGGCCAAATATATTATTTTTTGAATTTCTAATATATTATCAAGAATAAACCTAAATAACTATATATTTTAAAAAATAATTAAGTTTAAACTTTCTATATACACCACTTCTATTATTTTTAAAGTTTCTTCCTATATACTTCAAATAAAGTGATAATTATAATTATAAATCTCTTATTTTCTAATATTTTTAAAATTCTTCTTTTGTAAAAAAATATAATATTGTCTATAATTATCTTAACATCATTTTTTATGTATTTTTAATTATATACAAGAAGTTTTTTCTAATTACATCAGATCATTATTTTAATAGATTGATGAAACTGGAGCATTTCAAACTACTGACCCAAACTCTTTCTATTAGATATGTAGCATTGTGACAAACACATTCAACATGCCACTTGGCTTGAAACAAAGACTTAAAGATACTCAGCTTTGCTTCTCCTTCATTACCCATAAACACCCACAGAATGAGGAGACAAGCCATGGCAAGAATGTCTTGGGTCAAAGAGAAGAAAGTCCTTGTAAAAGGATGAAGGTGCTGGAACACTGTGATGAAAGTCTGCAACCTCATGTCCACCTCTGCAAGGAACTAGTGGCTGGTCCTCATCTGCTATAAGGCAGCACTAACACCTTCAAATTAAGGCCTCAATTCTTTGAATTGCTGAGTGCAAAGTTCTAGCAATGCATTGTGTCACCAATTTTTGAAAGGCTTTTAGTCAACTCTGGAAAAAATACACTGTTTTACTAAGTGGTCTCATTTTGTACAAAAACTTGGCTCCTCCTCAGATTGCAATGGCAGTGTTGGCACTGCTTTTTGCACAACCAGCAGCAAACACAAAGGGGTTCAAAGATTTCCTTGGTTAGACAAGTGTTTGAATTCTTGGAGAAGCCTCTGCACTTTGACAAGGGAGGCATAACTTAATCCCAGCTGTGGTCATGCTCCTGCAATTCAGTGTCTCATACCATCAAATTCTTTTATCATATTTGCTGGTCAAATCCACTCCTCCATTGTTTTGCATGTAATGTCTGTCACCTACATTAGTAAGAAAATCAGGTTGCATCATTATTCTACATTTGTGGTTTTTTATGGAATGTTGCTTGCTGTCAGTAACCTACAGTTCTGGTGTTCATGCTGCAGAGTTCGACTTTTTTTTTGGTGTCATTTTGGCAGGATTTTTTTCAAGGTGATGAAAGGATCCAAATCTTTTCCACATGGCTTTAAACTCTTGTTTATGGAATTCATAGTGGTTGTTGGAGTGAGTGGATCCCTTGGAAGAGCAGTTTCTTTTTTTCTATTTCTTTTTTTTCTTCCTTCGACACAAATAGAATTTATTATTTTATTGCAAAAAAGTTAGTGTACATGCCCCCAACCTGGACCAGTCAGGGGTGTTAGATTACAAGCTAAATGCTACTCACATAATTATTGCTAGGCTAGCTTGACTTCCATTTTGGTTTGATTTGCTTCCAAGTTGCTGATATCTCATTCATGCACCAATGCCTGCGGAACTAATGAAAATACTTTGCAGCTTGTAGTGGTTGACGTTTCATATGTGATTGCGTTTTGAGCCACACAATCCTTCATACTCAATGAGTTGCAACCAAATCTTATGATATAATTGTTCTATTGGCCAATGTACCCCATTAAAGGCAGCATCATTTTTCTCAATCTAGATTACCTACATTATGATTCCTTGAAGAAAAAGTCAAATTCAACTTACTTTTAAAAATCTCCTTGATATCCAATATGCAAAGATGCAACATTTCCATAATAGAGAAAGTTGTGTAAGTTCCATGCTTTGAGAAAGATCAATCCTCATTTTGTTGGAGGGCCTTGGCCCAATCTCTTGGAGATTGGCCACATTTTGTATGTCATTGGCCATTCTCCTTAGGAGCATACATTATTCTACTACTAGGGTAAGTAATTGGAGAATGGAGATTTTCCATTTCTAAGTTTTAGATATAGAGTTGCATTCTCAAAATCTATGGACTACAATTTTTTTAGTATCCATCAAGCATATTGGGCAATATTACTTAATTGTGTTGTATACTTGGCCCCTCTATGAATTTACTACAATAGTGTGGTGTCATGTGGTAATAAGACTATATAGTGAAAAATAAAAATATAGATGTTATTATAGACGAGCTTGGAAAAAATATGTAGTAGAAAAATAAGGATAAAAGATAAAAAAAATAGTAAAAGATTTAATCTTAATACTACCTTTTTGTTGAAGAGACTTCTATTTACTTTATAGAGGCATAAATGAGCCAAATTAAAGTAAATGAGGTAAAAAAATAATATAGGTATATATTAAAAAGAAATTTAACAATAGAATAAAGCAAAAATTATCTCAAATTATTAATAATTGATATCCAAAGAAGACCAATTATCAACTTAGATCAAAATCAAATCTTGAGGCATAAAACTATACCCATATGGCGACTTTAGGATTCTTTGGTAGATTAAAAATGATCTTTGAGAGCAAACTGGAGAAAAATAATTTAGGCATTGAATTTATGTCAATTAAATCACTATTGAATTTTTGAGGGATTTTCAAAGTTAATAATGTTCTTTGTTGGTTTAAATTTTGAAAAATAAAAATATGTTTATAAATTTGAAGATTTCTTGAGTTTTTAGTATGTATATGTGTGAATTTTAGATAATGAATTGGTGTGCTAGTTATAAATGTGTGTGCAAATTTTTAGATCAATTGAATAATTAGAAAAAAATTTGTGAAGGTTTTTGTAGATTGACGTCTCAAAAATTAGAATTTGAGGATTAGTGAGTCTTTCTAAGATCTTTAGCACTCTATCAATTAGATTGAAGTGAAAATTTTTGTGTGGATATTAGACTTGATTTCTAACATTCTAGTGAAATTTGAAAGAAATTCAATAATTCCTGAAGGAGGTATTGGTATTGAAAGTTTAGTACTCAAGTTGGAGTAAGAGGCCATCCAAAACTTGTTGGGATTATCATGCATATCTCTCAATTGGTAAGTGCGATTGATTTCATCTTTATTATACTTATTTTTAACTAAGATATTAAGAATTATGCAAATTTTAGTTGATATTAATAGTTTAATCATTAGTTATTGAAGTTCCATTTTTCTTTAGGATTTGGTTAAGAGTTTGTCTATGATTTGGTTAGGACTTAGAATTTGGTCTAGGATTTGGTTAGGATTAGAATTTACTTAAGGTTTGATTTAAAACTTATCTAGAGATTAATTAAAGTTTATCTAGGGTTTTTTTTAGGATTTAAGATTTTATTAGGATTTTATTAGGATTTCATTAGGATTTGACGTAAGATTTAATTAAGGTTCAATTAAGATTTAAATTAGACTTTTATCTAAGGATTGATTAAGATTCAATTAATATTTCTATTTTTAGTATTTCTTTTATGATTCTTTGGGTTTTATTTAAATTTTTTTATTTCTAGTATCTCTTTAAGATTATTTTTATTTCTTTAAAGGTTTATTTTTATATATTTTAAAGATTTCTTATTATTTTTCTTTGACATTAGTTTATGACTTCTTTGTATTTCTTTTATAACTTCTTTTAAATTTATTTTGGATTGATCAAAGTTTGATTAAGATTATTAAGGTTTACTTAAAGTTTATTGAAGATTCTATTAGACTTAATAAGATTGTTGTTGCATTTCTATTTACCTTCCACAACTAGGTGTCTGGTGCATTCTCAAGCAAAACATAATACGACAAGGGAGACATATCAATCATATGAGCTCTAATTCCTTGTGAACTTGTTTTGAATCTCAAATATTTGCTTATTACAATTTTAATCTAGATGGTAGCATCTTTCTCTACTTTTGTGTGATTATGTTGTGTACAATGAGGCGCTTCTTGATTAAAGAACAACCTAGCTTTACCAAGTATTGCATAAAGAATATTTTTTTCATTGTCATAATGTAATACGACTAATAGGTAAAAATGATGAAGAAATTATTATATTATAGAAGATCTTATTTTAAATATTATAGAAAATTATTTTAGAAAATAGAAAATAGAAAAAA